GAAACTATTATCAAGAAATTCGAATTTCAATGTCGATGGTTTACCATAACCGGCCTTTATATTGGCCGTTTGAATCTCATTATGCTTGGCCCAAATAATTTTTCCAGAATTATCCATGCTTACTGCTGGTTCTTCTCGTCCTAGCTGAAAAATATGGAACAAAAAACCTATAAGAAAAAAAATATATATACCAAAAACTGAAAGTACAATTTCAAACATTTCAAACATGTATTCATCAAACCTTGACACAAACAGCCCCCTCGTCATATCCGAATGCAACATTGTTGTTGCCCTTTTGGTAAGCGATTGTCCACGCGCGCTCAAGACCATAATTAAGAGTATTTTCTAATCGATAAGTATTGGAATGCCAAATCTTGACGGTACCATCCTCACTGCCAGAAATAATAATTGGTAATTCAGGGTGAAAGCACGCAAACGCGGCATTCTGAGTATGTCCCTCCAAGGTTTGAACGCAAGTCTTATTTTGATAATCCCAAATTTTAACAAGTTTATCATCAGCTGCTGATACTAGATATGGTTTTTCGCCACCATGATAATAATCTACCCAGTTCACTCCCTTTTCGTGTCCCTCAAGCGTAAAATTTGCAACCGTTGATCCAAGTGACCACACTTTAATTGTACGATCCAAACAAGCAGATGCGAAAGTGTTCGAATCTTTAGGATTAAAATTCACATTCATAACGTAATGTGTATGACCTTCAAATATCTAAATTATAACTGCCCGATTTAAGTAATTTTCTCTGTTTAATATAATATTGATAAAAAGATTGAGTTCAGACCTGAATACATTTCCATCCCTTTTCCCAATCCCACAATTTGACTGTCATATCATCAGAGCCAGTCAATACGAAAGGCTGGGTAGGATGTATAGCGATGCATCGAATATAGTCAGGATGTGCCTCAAAAGTTGTAACCTTTTCGTGTGTATTGTAATTGAATACGCGTATTTGCATATCGTCTGATCCTGTAATGAGCCAGTTCTTACGGGCAATAAATTTTGCCGCACGGACTTCGGAGAGAGGAATTGAATTTTTTAGGAAAAACGGTTTGCCAATATTATAAATAATTATAAGACGAAACTTAATTACCTGGTACGTCTGTCACTTCGAAAGTTTTCACTAAGACCTATAATCCACGAATTCAACAAATTAATCATTGGCGTTTTGAGAACCCTTATGTCACCATTAATTGTGATCGAACTTTTTGTCTTCGCATCATCTCGCTTTTCCATCTCTCAAAATTTTTTTACCTGTGTCTCGTAATTCCAGATGTAAACATCTCCATTATATAGACTTGCTAGGAACCAAAGCTCGGTTGGATGGAAATCTACACATTTGACGCGATCGGAACGAGCAAATAACTTGCGCTGTCACGAACGTATAGAAAAATTTTAATGACGGCATTATTCAAATATGATCTGAATTTTGCATCACAAAGCTTTTGCACTGATTAAGAAACTGTCGTAGATTACGCAATATACCTTGATTTCTAGACGCATTCCCTGTATATAAACACAATTACAGATACGATTTAAAATAAACAGAAATTTAATTCAAACCGTTTTATTTTCTCACCATCCCAACAATTGACTTCAAACGAATTCTTTGCAAAAATTAGATCTGGCACGACAATCGCCTGATAATTTTTTAATGCTACATATGGTTTGGTCATACTATTGTATTTTATTTGAATATACAGTATATATCACAATCATATTTTTTTTTGTACTATTATTTAATTATAAACTATTAATAGTACGAGATCATAAATTAAAAAGAATAGTTTTTGATCAATAATATACTACTTAACTCAAAAAATAACTCAAAAATAGGTTTAAATAGAATTATATAATAATATTATATATAGTATATTATATGAAATTTGGATTTTTAATCATTACGGAGTGAAATATTGTTCTCAAAATCAAACTTAAAAGCTTTTATTAAATTTGATTAGAGAAGTTTATCTATAGTATATATTATTTTTTTTTTTTTGAGTACCCATAGTCAGGCTAGATTGTCAGTTTATTAATCAATTGAAAACATAAGTACATTTTTATTTGAGCAGTATGATATATATTACAGCTAAATTATTATTCTAATCTAACCAACTCGTCATATGCATAAAAACCTCTAAGTTCAACCTTGGAAACAATATTTTGATCCATAGTGTCTTTGGATGAAAACCCTTCTAGTCCACTATATCATTACTAGCAGGTTGTCACTGCTATATGTCATATCAAGTTATTGGAATACAGAAAATTATAAAAGGATGAATTGAAAAAAGGGAAAAGAGAATATTTAAAAATATCTAAATAGACAATAAAAAAATAAAAGAGTAAAAATTGAAAAAAATATTTTTAGCTTTCTCCAAAGACCTGTTTCTTAAGACCTCTTCTCAATAAGAAATACTTGATTGGGATATCCTTTCTTTTCCTGACTATTTGAATAACTTATTTATTCTTGATCTTGATTTTCTTCTTATGTATCATCTAAGAAGACTTATCACCT